ATCATTAGGAATATATGCATGTTTATCAATTCCATATTCTTTTTCTTAAGGAAATCAATTGTGTAGTGAAACCACTAAATTAAAACATTGCATTAAAACAAGCAGGTAAATACAATCAGGTGGCACAGAAATGTTGGCTAAATCAACCAATGAATGAGAGATTGAAACAGATCACACCAGGTCAGTTTAGTTTTACTGAAGTGCACCCATACAGGTCAATAATATCGAGAGTAGGGCTGAACAATTAATTACAAAATACCGAAATTGCAATATGGCAAAATGCAATATGTAAATTACAGAAGCTGCAATTTTTTGATAAAGGTAAAATGTGTAATAAACTGTCATTATAATGAAGTACTGTAGTTCTGCAGAGATAGCCTGGCCTACAAACCTTATTCCCCAGATGTAAGAAAACATGTTTGTTTGGTACAGACCCTGAAATATTTCACATCATGATCTTCAAATTGAATGTATGATGCAAAAATGATCATTCCCACAATAATTGTGAATTATATTGCAATCGCAATATCTGTCAAAATAATTGCAATATGATGTTTTACCACATAGTGCAGCCCTAGCCGAGAGGAAAATAAATCTCAGAGGACCTCAATAAAAGGGTATCAGCACATTTGTCTGTGGAAAGCTATACATTTATCTAAAATAAAATTTGAACTCCATCAGTCCACCGTGAGGCAGCCAAACTTTTGAGCAGCACTGTATACTCATACACATTCACTCACGTACAGAAGACCCATCACTAACATGCCTCTGAATGTCTGTAGGTTTCTGTGTTGCCGAGCCTTACAACATCAGAGCTCGGAAGGATTTCTTTGTGGACCTCAAGCTGCCGTACTCAGTGGCGAGGAACGAACAGGTCGAGATTAAAGCTGTGGTCCATAACTATGGCGACGAAGACCTGCATGTAAGAAAGTCACCTCAAAACTAGCCAGCACAGCCACTTCTTTTGTATTCAGCCAATGATTTCAGTAAATATAGAAAATTTATTCTACAATAGGAATAGCCCGAATCTCTTTCTACAGAAATTATAACAAGACTATGAATCTACAGCCATTCTAACTGCTCTGTGAGGCTATACAGATGATGCTAACATGCTGGTGTTTAGCAAGTGTCATGATCACCATCTCAGTTTTGCTAATGAGCACCAAAAAGAAATTACAGCTGAGGCTGATGGGATTGACATTAGTTTTTATTTGATCATGAATCAAAGTAGTGTGTATTTGTTACCAAATAATGGCACTAAAAAAAAAGTGAGGGATCACCAAAGTTATAACAATTTATCCTTAGGAGAACCATCTAATTCATCTAGTCCATCTAATAGTAATTGAGGTATGTTAATCTAGACCAAAGTGATGAACGACAGACTGTTAGCATGGCTAAAAATATACTGCTGGGTCTGCTCTGTTTCCTCTCTGCCAGTTCAATAAAATTACATGAATCAAATAAGTCTCGAGCATTAGTGAATGTGCTGTGACTTCTTTCCATTCAGGTGAGGGTGGTGCTGATGAAGACAGAAAACATGTGCAGCATTGCCTTCAAGGACAGACACACGCAAGAAGTGTCGTTGCCGGCCGGCTCTTCGGTTGTGGTGCCTTACACCATCGTACCCCTGGTGGTGGGGAAACTTCCTCTGGAAGTGATGGTGGTCAGCAGAGACACGAGAGGAGACCGCATCCAAAAACTTCTACGGGTGGTGGTGAGTCACCCTTGATGAGGAAGATGTCATGGCAGTATATTTACTGGACCCAGTAAAGTTTGTCTTCTCCGTCTGCCTCTTGGCAGTTTCTTTGTTCTTTTAAAAGCAGAGTCAGCTGCTGCAAACAGGAAAGTTGATATTCTGGATTCTGCTTTATAGACAGTATGTAAAACAGAAGTAAATAGAAGAGGTGTTAAGAAGGTAACATAGATTTAAATAAATATCTTCTTTTATAATACATTTTTTCCTAACCCAAACAGATGGATGGAGTGCAGAAGACTGAAGTTTGGAGTGCGGTGTTGAACCCGTCTGCTGAGGGAGGTAAGAAGATCGCAGTGATGCATGATTTCGTATTATCTCCTCTTAATTACACGGTAATACACCACATTTTTATATCTGAGTTACAATAAAGTATTAACCAGTTCAAGTGGAGCTCACAGTCTTGAAGCTCAAAAAATATATTCTATTCTATTCTATTAGTGTTAATACAAACATAAACGTAGACTTAAATTGCTACAAGTTTTGGGATTGTGCAAAGTGTTGATTGGCCCATAAGGATCCTAGAGTGTGGTAACAACAACAATGTCCATTCCCTTGAGCCTCCACTTCCAGATCAAGATTAGCAGGCAGCTACAAAACAAAATTACAAATTACAACATTACAAACTACAAAAAATTCTTCATAACTTCATTGTCTTTTAGTCATGTCATAGATGCTGTGTGTGTTTTTGTTCCTGTTTTGCCAGCCCTAGC